GTTGTTATTTGTCAAAACATTGATTTTAAAATTCATATTTTTTTTGTTGGTTTACTCCAAGAGTACTGTCGAGTAGGCTTGTTATCTACAAATAAACCTGTCAGCTTTTTGAACTGACAAATTTTCAGATGGTTCAACAGAGAAAAGCCCATTTATGAACTTAGACAAAACAACTTAACGCTTAAGATAAGTTTTAAGCAAGTTGATCGTCATGATAAGCCAGTATTTGTGAAAAGGAGGTCCCAATTCCCTCTGGTATCTTTGATTTCAGTTGGTGTAACCCTGCACACAACCATCTTGGATGAAATTGAGAAGAAGCATGGCATGGAACGAGATCTCCTTTTGGAACTTGTAGAGTTGGCTCAATCAAACAAGCATGAAGTCTCCAGAGTAGAACAACTAACTGAACAGGTCTCTGCTCAATTTTGTTCAGAAGAATAGCAACATTTGCATTTCTCTCTCTCTCTCTCTCTTTCTCTCTCTCTATAATTCATAATCAACTAATTGGTATTAAGAGTCCCATAAAACTTCGTTTTTGTAATCATTCATGATCAAGCCAGACCTCCAACCAATGATTTACCATTACATTGTAGCTCATGGATTTTCAATCACTAAATTACATGTACATTGCCTGTGTTATCTTCAACAACTAGACATAATTAACTGCTACAAATTTATTTAACCATGAAATAATTGACATCTGGTCATTAATGAACGATCAGTCAGTGATATCAATTTTTCATAGTTCATAATTCATCTATAGAATTAGCTACAGTAAGATAAACTTCCAATTTTGCTGTTGTTAATTCTTACATTTAGGAGCTGATGAATGAACTGAAGATTGGTAATCAGAGCTGGCAGGAATGTGAATTACAGTTGGTTAACTTTGGAAATGGAAGCAGTAATCTTGATGCTGTTGCTGAGCTGCAACACCAGAAAAGACAGGCTCTCAAATCTGCCATACTGCTCCGAATGGAAGGTCAGTTACATATATATATTTTATATTACATGTATGTTGTGTTGATATATTTTAAGCTCTTAGTTTGTGTGTTTTAAGATGCGAAGTTCACCATTTTGTATTAATTTATCGTACTGGTTGTTGCACCTTTCCTATTTTCCTCTGTAACTTTGTCCACAGCATACACTTTTTTCAGTTTCTCTGGTTCCCGATTTTAATTTCAGTTTCAGACTTGTAACATTATTACAAATTCATTTGATTAGGTTCTAAGTGTTTACTATGGTGATTTTCGTTACTTCTGGTAGTTGTCAATGAAAAACTAGTCGCAGGATTCCTAAGTGCTTTCTCACTGTAATAACAAAAGGTGTGTTTAGCAATGTAGTTATTATTAATAAGCCTGTTTAATATTCATTTCTTTTTATATCAAGATATAAAAAATATTGTGATATCTGATATTATTGTGATGACGACATTTTCCATTCATAAAATAAACATGACCAAAATCACCACCATATCTTGAAAGCCTCTTAAAAAATGGTGTATATGTATTATCTCTATATTAAGAACTCTAATGCTGGTGGAAAGCAAATGTCAACATGGAATTGTGGACATTAAATTATCATACATCATATCATGGCACCTTGCATAAAAAGCCATTTCTACACACACATTAGGCGCCAAGTCAAAACAGAAACGGTTCATGAAGTGGGAAACGATACATAAATGATAAGCTCCTTACCCCCTTCAGAGTAAAGCTGGCAAGGATAGGGAGTCACTAGCTACATGTAAATTGCTTGTGGTTCCATGAACACTATTCCTGGGTGATGTTTTGTAACAATAGAGAGCTTATACAGTAAAAA